AATACTACTTAAATTTTACTTACCACTGCTTGATCCACTAGATTGCAACAAGAAAAATGTGTTAAACTGCTTCAAAGGGAAGAATGGAGGAAAGGAGAGCAAGAGCAACTCGGGACAAGAGGAAAATGAAAATGAAAGGAGAAAGACCAAAATGAAAGCAGAAGGGCGGGTTGGCAGGGCAATAGGGAAGCTTACCGATGAAACCCACATTGCTACAGTCTAAAGCTGCTCATCTCTGCGTTGCATCAAGATTCCCGTTGACTGGACAATCACCGACGAGCATCAAGTTGGCAATGGACCTATTACCGACCTATATCTTATTGACAAATAAAGTAAAAGCTGCAACACTAGTGGCCACCAGCCGGATTCGCGCGGAGTTGATAAGGGCAAGTTACCGACAAGCACTATGTCAGAAATTTCATCAAAAAGTTGCACCCCTGACGCAAGCAGCCAGCTGATTGGCGGGGGGGGTGCATTGGGAGTGGCAATTACCGAGGAGATGGACGTTGGAAATTGATCCTCAATTACCGATGAGACTGTCATTCCAAATTAAATTTACAGGCGTACTTCTCGTCGGTGATGTGCCTTTCCATCCTTCCCCCACCGGCCGGAGTGTTGGTTGCAATTACCGACAAGTAACATGTATGTATTTTGGTAAATTACCGACGAGTGTTACGTATGTACAATAAATAATATATCTTACTACCATTTCTACTGTTTCTTAAGTTGCAGACTTATATCTTGTCGGTAAATGGATGCTTCACCGAGAAAACTTCTTACCTCGGTGATATGTGGTCGGTGAAGCTAGGTTTTCTTGTAGTGAATAAAATTTAAAATTAATGATATAAGTTATGTTATTTAAAATATTAAAAAATAAATATTATATTATTTAATAATTTAGTTTTTTTACTTTATTTAGATTTATTGATATTATTTACATGAATTTATTTAATAACATGATTTATATTAAATTTTCATTTTTTATATCACTATTCAGTTTCTTATATTCTTTTCATTTATTATCAACAGTCTTAATTTGATTTTTTAATTTTTTAAATATAAGTTGTAGATGAAAATTCAATATATTATATAAATAATAATTAATTTTTTTATCTAATAAAAATACTAAACAAGAGCTATATAGTAAAAAAATAAAATAAAAATAAG